ATTGAGTGGACGTGAAAGCAATCAACCCACCCTCAGTGATGTAATGGGTGTGGGAAAGATGAAGGGTGGGACACTAAGTTAAAGAGGCAAAGGAACAGAATGCATGTGCTGTAGTTACATCTTGTCTCCAGGGGCAAGGCTTCTAGTCTTTCAAAAACGAAGACCAGGATGTTAGGAAGACTGCTCAGTGGTCAAGAGCACTCGTTGCCCTTACAGAGGACCTGGGGTTGATTCCCACCACCCACATGGCAGTTCACAACTACCTGTAACTCTAGACCCAGGGCTTCTAACCTCTGAAGGCACCAGTCATGCCTATGGTACACATACATACATACATGCAAAATAGTCATACACATAGAACAATAAGACAAATTAAAATAAATTAAAAAACAAACCAAAAATGAAGACCAAGGACTACTAAGAAGGGTCAGTAAGGAAAGGTGTCAGCCACCAAGTCTGATGGCTTGAGTTCGATCCCCAGGACCCACATGGTGGAAGGAGAGATCTGAGTCCAGGAGTATGTATGCCATGGTACTCATTCATCCCCTCCTCCCCTCACTAAAACAAACAAACAAACAAACAAACAAAAAATGTTATTTAAAAAGAACATCAGGAAACACATCAACAACACGAATACCAACGTAAACATTAATAGTTTGATAATTCAAGGGTGATGAGGGTTTGTAAAGTTTCTGGGGATCTTGTTCTTCTCTATTTTTGGTATGTTTTTTTTCCTGTGTGCATAGTCCTTTTTATTTTCATGCTTTGCCCACAGGTGTGGTGGGGTCTGCAATTCCCTTGTGATGGACAGGCAGAGACAGGTACCTTTGGCACAAACACCAGGCAGAGAGTGATGGTGCTGCAGAAGATGATGACCAGGGCCACGATGCAGAACTGCACGTTGGGCTGGTCCCGGGTCAGGAAGGAGACGGCAGCCCCAATGATGCACATGATCCCCACGTTGTACACACTCATCCCAATGTACTTGCTGTCATTGAGGGCAGGGATGCTTACGTTGCGTGTTTCCCATGCTAGGAAACATCCAAACAGCTGAAAAGGTGGGCAGAAAGGGGAGATTTCGTTACCAGGCACAGCCCCCTCACTGCTCATCAAACTGCAGCAACTTCAGGTTGCCACCAACTGCCTTCATGCGTGGCCCCAGTTGCACCCTGAGGAAATACAGACTTGGGGTGTGGCAGCCCCCAGTTCTCCTTCACATTCACAACTGGCTCCTGCAGAGACCATGGGGGAAGGAGCCTCAAATAAGGTCTCTGGAGAACACTGAGATACAGAGAGGAAAGACGGCAGCCACTCAGTACTGGAGTGGCAGGAGTGGACAGTGCTTACAGAAGTCCAGAAGAGTCCAGTCTAGGATTTTTCTAGCAGGCCAGGCAGGTGCCCTGTGACTCAACTTCTCTCGTCCCCACTGTGCAGAGACACCCGGAACACAGAGAGGTTTCCCATCCTCTCTAGAAGTGAAGTTGGCATATGGCAGATTCTGGACAATGCCCTGTAAGAGGGAGTGGGGTGCCCAAGGTCTGGGCTGTGCCCTTAGAGGGGAAGGAGTTGCATTTCTTCCTTCCTAACAGGTAGAGTGGATTGTGATGGGTGGTACTGCAGCATCCATCTTAGACTGTGTGGCATGGATGTAGGGGTGACAAGACCATGGGAGCCCTTATCTCAGCACCTCTGGAGCAGGTTTGCTAGGGAGAAACTGCCCATATCTTTAATTGTCATTATTTTCGGCTTCCTCTCATGTGCAGTTTTCTTCTAAGCAACACATCTCCCTACAGAAGTGAACAGGACAGAAGTAGACAGGGGAGAGGTCCAAGGGGGAAGCCTCAGCCCTCCCAGTGCTCTGAGGGAGGGAGGGTAGGTCACAGGGGCATCCACATCTGCACCCCTGGGTGGTAGTGAGGGAGGCAGAAGGGAGCCTTGAGACTCCTACAGGTGCAGGGTCCCGGGGCTTTCTCACCAATAACTTCTACTTGTTGCATTCCACATCTGTCACCACTGTGATGGCCTGCTTTCTGGGGGTGACTTAGTTTGGCATCACGGGGCAGAAGCCAGGTAGACGAGGATTTGGAATGACCTCTATGAGTCACTGGCCATGAGACTTTGAACACCCCTCTCACAGCCCCACATGCAGTGTCTGGGAGATGGGGTAACACTTGTCCCTCAGGGCCTCTGTTTGGGTGAGGTGAGGGGCTATGGTAGTTTGTGATTGGCCTCCATAATCTCATAGGGAGTGGCACTATTAGAACATGTGGTCTTGTTGGAAGAAGTATGTCACTATGGGGGTGGACTTTGAGGTCTTCTATGCTTAGAATACAGCCCAGTGTCTTGGTCGACTTCCTGTTGCCTGTAAGATGTAGCACTTTTAGCCCCAGCACATGCCTGCCTGCACTCTGCCATGCTTCCTGCCATGATGATAACGGACTGAACCTCTGAACTGTAAGTGAGCCGCCTCAATTATATGTTTTCCTTGTAAGAGTTGCCACAGTCATGGAGTCTCTGTCATGCAATAGACAGGAGACGGATGAGGAATCCTGAATGAGCTTCTCTGATGGATGGTACTTCACACTGCAATGGTGGCTTCCTCTTCCCACCCCAGTCCTTTTCTGTAAATGTGTCTCCTAGCAGCCTGATCTCTTATTTTTTTCTCATCTATTATTTTATTTGTTTACTTTTTTGAGACTGGGTTTTTCCTAGGCTGGCCTTGAATTCTCCATCCACTGCCTTGGTCTCCTGAGTGCTGGTTTAGCCATCTAGGCAGGGATGGAGGTATCTAAAGAGACATGCATGAGCCTCACTTTGGCTATGAGGCTATTGAAACCCTCAGGGAACTAGAATTCCTCCAGGAATCTCAGTAGGAAGAAGAGAAGGCCTGGCCAGCCTGAGAGGAACATTGCTAGTGAAAAGAGATTTGTAACTATCAGACAACGTACAGGAGAGGCAAGGATGGGCCAAGGGTGGGCAGGACCACACCTTGACCAGGACTGCTTAGGTGTGTATAACTTCTTAAACCTTAGCCTCCCCTCCAGACCTTGGAGATGGACTTAGAATGGGGTGGGATAGGGTGTCAGTGGATTTCTTTCTCCCTCTTCCCAATGTTTTCACACTGAAAAATTTCGCCTTTCTGCTTTTCATAAAGATCTGGCTGTTCTAATTGGTTTGTAGAGGATGTGGCTGATTGGGGCACAGGCTGTACCTCAAGTTCAGTAATACTGGGATTATAGCTTGTGTCCTCACACCGTGCTGCAGGTTCTTTCTCCAGCCTTGGAAGCAGACACTTGGGTGAGAGGAGGGAGCCATCGTCCCCTGGAAGCCTGCATTGCACAGGGTCTTCATGTATGACTCCTTCAGTCTCCAGAGGCCATCTCCTCTCAGACAAAACAGCACAGGATGGGCTAGATGCAGGGAACTGTCTGGGTGGGGCCCATGGTGGTGAGGGATAGGGCTTGGTGGGAGCCTGACCATAGTTCTGACCGGGCTGCACCAAACCAGCACGAGAGAGTTGTACAGCATAGACATGTTTGCAGATCTCTGAAGAGTGTCAGAGTCAGTAGGAAACAGTCATATGTTCTTAGATCTTCAAGGAGTGCCATGAGGACTCACAGATGCTGAACCGAGACTAAGAAGAACTTTCTGGCAACACAAGCCATCTGTAATCTGCAGTGGCCCTCACAAGTATATCCACACCCAGATCCGTGGAAGTGGTGAATGTGGCCTTACTGGTGGTGGTGTGTGGATGGGTAGGGGAGGGAGACTTTGGAGGTACAATTAAAGAATTTTTCCAGATCATCTAACTGGTCCCTAAATCCAGTGATAAGGATTAAGAGAGAAGAAGGGAAGGAGTTAGAGATAAGCCACCAATCACAAGTCAAGGACTGCCTGGAGCCATGCTCACTGGAAGAGTCCCGGAAGGGCTCTTCCTTACAGCCTGTAGAGGAAACACAGCTTTGCCCATCTCCTCTGGCTGTGGCAGGATCTAAGACCAGGACCCACAGAGACTAAGGGCGGAGTCACATGGGATGCTCTGTTTATTTTCATGTTGTGAAGGCCCCTAGGAGAGACAGGCCTGGCAAAGAAGTATCCCCAAACTCTGCCTCCTGCTTGGCACCTACCATGAGGAGCCCCTTGTAGGCGTAGACGATGCCGAGCCAGATGGTCATGTGGGTGTTTTCGCAGTGTTCCAGCAGTGGGCGGATGGAGATGTCCCGGCCTGCTGGGTCCGGCTGCATAAAGAGAAAACAAAAACCCCAGGGATGGACTGGCCATCTTCCAGCAGCAGAGTCACTTGCCAAAGGTCCCCTTTCCTCCCATACTCCACAACCAGTGACATATCGAGACATTTGCATTCCCATGGTGGAACGAAGGAACAAGCTAGCACCAACTGTGTTCTGCTTGATGGTTATAACTCAAGCCTGAACCCTGGGCCCGTGGCTTCTTCATACCTGCCCAACTTTAGACAGAGGTGCTAAGGGAAAGGGTGGTCAGTACTATGTCCCAAGGCTCTAATAAGGCCTTGAACCCTCCCGACAGAAATGAAGACTATTCTAAAGATCCTCGAGCCCCTTGTGTCTCTTGGTAACAAGGCACGCCAAGGAATTGGAATGCTCCCCAGGAATCCCACTGAAGTCTGCTGCCAGCCAGCTGGAGAGCTTGTCTCCAGAAAGACATTACTCATAGCTTATCAGACCACCTTGCAGGACAGACTGGAGCCTGAACAATGCTGGCGTTAGGATGGTCTGCACCACACCTTGACTAGAACCACTTTGTTCCTTCCTCCATGCCTTTCATGTGAGGACCCCAAGGATGGTTTGGGAGGAGCTCATGTGACCTCTTTGTCCCTCTCCCAGAGTGCTGGTGTTGAATAATCTCCCTCTTCTACTTTTTAAAAACTAGTGCTTGTTTAATTGCCTTATTAAGAATAAATGGCCAAACCTGGCTTATGGGGGCCATCAGGGCCCAGGCTGTGACTCTTAATTCTAGTAACGGTGTCAGCTTCAGCAGCACAGATATTAAAACTGGAATGGTACAGATGGGGTTAGCATGGCCCCTGTGCAACAATACTCAAATTCCTGAAGTGTTCCATATTTGTAGTGGGGAGCTATGGACTACTGAGGGCTTCTGGGAGACAGAGAGTTTTCTTTAAGGGAGTGGTCCCTAGTAGGTGGGCTATGTTCCAGTGGCTGGCTCCACACCCAGGAATGTATGGGCATCACAAACTGTATTCTGTGGTTATATAAGAGGGGGAGGGGCAAAAAACTAGGGGGAGTAGGAAGATGGGGTGGATATCGTAGGTGTGGATATGGTAGGCGTTGGAGGAAGAGTGTGTGTGTATAGAATACGACTAAAACACATTGCATGCAATTCTCAAAGAATTAATAGAAATATTATAGTAAGAAAATTTCAGTAGCAACTCAGTCCAGAGGAGGGATGTGTAAGGCTTATTGAAACAGTAAGAGAGAACTGGCTGTAAGTTGAGGGTGGTCTGAGGAGACTCTGGAGTGAGCTTGGGCAGCTGGAGTTACAGAATATATTGGCCCAACCATGCATAGGGCCTTCTACAAGCCGTTCTAGGAAGACATACACTGAAGAAGCCGCAATGGCAGCCATGTTCTATATCACATGACACAGCCTGGGCCAAAGCTGATTGAACAAGAGGTGGGCGCCACAGCTAACTCCAGGCAGCCAATCCTGGGGCATGTCAGAGGTCTGTGGCATTTGCTAATGCTCTTTAACAGTGCTCTTTCCAAAGAGATGCTAGGGACTAGAACAAGCTGTCCCGGGCAGACATTTGTCTTTCCTGAGTCACTTCAAGACAAACTGCAGATGTCCTAACTCTCCACTCTTACATATCTAAGCATGTGTTTGCTAGGAGTGAGGACACTCTCCAGCAGCCACATGCTCACACTTTTGAACTGAAGCAGTGACATGGTCTATTCTCTGTTAGCCACCTTCACAATTCACCAGTGGGTCCAATGGTTCCTTTAAGGCATCTTGTGTGTGTGTGTGTGTGTGTGTGTGTGTGTGTGTGTGTGTGTGTGTGTTTTCCAAAGCAGGATTCACCCTGGGACCAGTGCATTGCATTTCCTTATGTCCTGGCTTGCTTTACTCTCAAACGATGCCCCAGCCCACTTTGGTCATTTTATCTGTATTCCTGGAGAATTCAGCCCAGTTAACAGTTGTTAAGTATCCCTTGGTGTGGATTTGCTGGCTGTTGTCATGACTGGGCAGGAATCCTGCATAAGAGATGTCCCCTCCACATGTCACCACAGGGCATAAGATGGCACCTCGTCCAGTGACTGGTGATGTTAACTGTGTTCACATGCCTATGGTGGTCTCACCACTTGAAAGGTACCATTTCCCCTTTGTGATTAAGGAGTCACCTGTTGCAGCCACTGTGAGACCCGGTGAAGATCCTGTTTCCCACAAACGTTAGCACAGGGATTTGCTAACTGTCACCCCATTTGGACACACCACATTCTGCTACAGAGCAGCACTTTCTTTCTTCCCTGTTATCCATGGCCCTGCTACAACCCATCGCTATCATTGTGCATTTTGACTCAAGTTTATGCAGATTTGGCCAGTGCAAAATGCCTTCCTGTTGCCTCTGATGTTTTCTCCCACATGTTCCTGTCATCTTACTTTTTGAACACTTGCTTATTTCTTGGCACAGGATGTTCTCAGCTCTCCTGGCATTTCCCTTGCTCCAGCATTGGAATTGCTTATTTTTCTTTTCAGTGCAGTGGTGTTTAGAAACCAACATCTGAGAAGTTTGTGGGTATCATTACTTTTAGTCCTATGTATGTATGTATGTATGTATGTATGTGTATATATGTACATTCATGTATATATCTATCATCTATCAGTCTTATCTACTAAATATAAATTATCTGTCACTTTTGTAGCATCTATGTAGCATCTATATATCTCTGTTATTTAAGCATTTATCAATTATTTGTCTATTTACCTATCAATCATTTATCATCATGTATCATTCACTTATCATCTATGTATCCTTTATCTACTATTTACCAGTCAGTCATCTATCATCCATGTATTGATCATCTATTTATCTATCTATCTATCTATCTATCTATCTATCTATCTATCTATCATCTCTCCCTCATCTATTCCATATTTGTTCATCTATTTTACATATAAAGCCACACCTCAGAGATCTCACTTGCCACTCCCCTTCCATAACTTCACCTCTCTTCTTGAAGTGAGATCTCTGATTTCTAACCAAGTCGCCATATTTACTTACTTGCTTGGTCCCACAATACAGCTTCAGATCCATTCACAGATAGATACCAGCAAGAAACTTACTAAATAAAGTTGACCTTTCTTAGAAAATCTGTTTGCCAGTCCAGCGGGTCCCCCAAGAGCATATTGTCAAGGAAAAGTGTACAAGCTGCTGGGTTCTGAAGGTGTGCTTGGCAGTAAGAGGTGGTATGCCCAGGGTCGATCATCAGAAGAAGGGGCACTTTGATGGGTACCATGGGTGTGGAGGGAAAGCAAGACTAGAAGCCCTCCCTCCCTTGCTGCTCTCTAGGCCTGGCTTTGGAGGCAGGCACTGCCTGGGTTCCTGTGGGTGAGCAAAGGTGTTCATATGGGAGCAGGAAAGCCTGGGCTCCTTGGGGTGTGTGGGCTCAGCCATCTTTTCTTCAGATTGTTTGGCTTCGTGCACTCTTAAGCCCCATGTTCTCAGCTATGCTAAGCCACAGGAAGACATTAGCCTAGCTTCTTTGAGTCCATATGTGAGCAGGAGTGCTATATTCTTGAGGTGACCTCCAGAATGCAAGGTCAGAGAGGCCTGGGCTGGAGACGACCCTTCACGACACCCCCAGTGGCTGGGATGTGTTCATCGTGGGCAATGGTTTCCTGACAATTTTCCTGGTTTAATTACAAAGACAGAATGGGCTTGGTCCCACTGTTAGCAGTGACAACCACATCGACATCAGGATGTCGGAGGAGCAGAGGCCTCCATGGTCATGTGAGCTGCAGACTGATTAACGATGATTGTGTCTGCTGTTCTAGATGAAAGGTATCCATTTGTGATGGGTTCAGACTTGGTGGCGGCGTGTGTGTATGTGTGTGTGTGTGTGTGTGTGTGTGTGTGTGTGTGTGTGTGTGTGTGTGTGTTCTGACATACATCACTTACTATTCAATGTAAGGAGAACCCGATTGGTTGAGGCTGACAGTGCCAGCCTGGCTCCTACATACTGTGACAGGAACCCACCTGTCCCTGCCCCTTGGGGAGATGGCTGCATGGTCATTTGACTGAACTAGACCTTCTCCTCCTGTACCTTACCTGCTGCTGTCCTCATCTTTCCTCTGAGCTATCTCTCTGAGTCTTGTGGGGCAATCCATGAAGGACATATCACCCACATGTCCTTCCACCAGACCCTGTGACAGCTTGGGTTTTCACTGGTCTAGGGCTGAGCTTGATGCTCCAGGTGTGTGGAGTGGAATGCTGCTCCCTGCTCTGCATGCCTGTGACTCCCCAGATATCTGTCTTCCTCTAGTAAGTCCCTTGGTCCTTGTCCCATCAGGAAACAGCCATGGAACTGGCATGACCTGCCTCCACTGCCGGCATGCCAGCCTGGCATCTTTCATTCCACCCCCACTCGATTCCATATCCCCCCATCTGGTTTCTTTAAATCTCACATCTGCCATTCTGTTCCCTGTGCAGCTCCCTCAGCAACCTGGTCCCCGCCTGGACTGCAGAAGGGCAGGGCCACAGAGACAGAACTCATTCAGAGTTCGGACAAGCAGTTGTCCTGGAGGCCAGGGGCCCGATTCTTCCTTTACATCCCCGTGTAACAGGTGCTGACTTGGAAATAGCTTTCAAACTTGGCTTTCACACTGCCCTCTTGCAGCCCCATTTCCATCAGCCACAGTGGCAAGGAGTTGGGTTGGGGATAATTTCAGGAGCAATAAGGTTTCTGTTCTTATGAGGCTAGGGGATGATGGGAGTCTTAGAATACAGTCAAGCAACCCAGGTACTGAATCCCAAAAGCTAAGCTAGCCATTGTTGGGTCATCCCGGGGCCACAGTAGACTACTAAGTCACACACCTGTGGGGAGGAAGAGTTGTCACCTAAGCGCTTTTGAGGTATCAGTGTTGTGCACCAAAGAGCCACTAGAGGTCACCAAAGAACTGTGTGGCATGCTGAGGATTAACCAACCGGCTTCTGGGAGCACAGACTCACCAGTTTGGTAAGGCTGCAAATGGGGAAGCTGTCAGAGGCATTCCCTGCCAGTGACTAAGGGAAGTGCCTACTGTCCCTAACAGGCCACCGAGGTCAGATGTCCAAGCATTGTGGTAGAGACACTGCTCTGCTTCCCGGGCAGCTATGAAGGGCTGCTGATGGGTGGCCCACCGTTCTGGGGTCATCTCACTGTGGGCTGTCCACACAGCCCAGGGCGGCTTCAGGCCTGCCTCTTTTCCAAGAATTACATCTCCTCTGGCTTAACAGTGCTACTCTTGCTTGGGATGACTGGCTGTAAAGATTTGCAGTCTGCTTGATTCTCTTTAGTTTTCTTCCTTCCATTTCTCACCTGGCAATTAGTCAGGTATCCATCCATCCATCCATCCATCCATCCATCCATTATCCATCCACCTATTCACCCCATAACTACTAAAGCATCCTCAATTTCCAGGTACTGCTATGGGCAAAGGAGTGTCACTGCAAGCACGACAGAAGAGGATACTTCCCTGCAGGTCTTCTATGCAGGACCAGGTGGCTTTCATGAGTGGTGGCCTCACAGGGCTATGTACTGGCCTCCTCCCATGCAATGGTAATGGATAAAGAATAGATAAGCAATGGTAAGGCTAAGACCCACCTTCTTCTGGTTGCTAGGGTACGAAACCACCACCAGAATGCAGCAAGATGTTATGCACACTTTACAGGATGCAGAGGCACAGAATGACTGAGTGATAAGCCCAGGTTCTCCAGCTGCTAAGTCACAGGGTTGTCTGGTATTCCTTCCATCCTCACCACTTGCCCTCCTAACCCAACCCATGCTGCCCTGGCTTCTCCTAAGCACTGTGCTAAGCTCTATGGAGACAGTAGATAGGAACCTGTTTTGT